CCTCACGTTGCACCGGGGAGGGCCATATCAGAAAGTAAGCAGTGACACGCTATACACACATCAAAGCCGCGGGAGGAAGGACCGGTCGAGCCCCGGCACTGCCAGCAGGTGCCTCACCCCCTTCACCACGTCCTCACAAAGAGGATGTTTAACCCTTGAATGGTACTGCCTTAGGAAGAGACCACTGGGTTTTTAAAAGGGGACTGTTGGGAGTATGGAGGTTCCTCAAAAGATTAAAAAGAGAACTACCCGATGACCCAGCAATTGCACTGCTAGGTATCTAGCCAAGGGATACAGGAGAGCTGATTTGAAGGGGCACATGGACCCCAATGTTTACGGTAGCGCTATTGACAATAGCCAAAGTATGGAAAGAGCCCAAATGTGCATCAACTGATGAACGGATAAAGAAGATGTAGCACATATGTGCAACAGAGTGTTACCCAGCAATCAGAAAGAATGAAATCTCGCCATTTGCAACAATAGGGATGGAACTAGAACGTATCACACTAAGCAAAATAAGTCAGCCAAAGACAAATATCACATGACTTCACTCATATGTGGAATTTAAGAAACGAAACAGATAAAGGGAAGGGAAGGAAAAATAAGATAAATACAGGGAAGGGGAAAAACCATAACAGGCTCTTAAAAACAGAAACAAACTGAGGGCTGCTGGTCGGGTGTTAGGTGGGGGGATGAGTTAAACTGGTGACGGGCATTAAAGGGGGCACTTGTTGGGATGAGCACCGGGTGTTATATGTAAGTGATGAATCACTAAATTCTATTCCTAGAATCATTATCACACGATATGTTAACTAACTTGAATTTAAATTTAAAAAAATGCTGTTAACAAAAAAAAATTTTTAAAAACAAGGGGACTATTGGGGTACCTGGGTGGCTCAGTCGGTTGAGCATTTGACTCTTGATTTCAGTTCGGCCCACAATCTCACAGTTTGTGGGTTAGATAGGGGCCCACACTGGCCTCTGTGCTGACGGTGCAGAGCCTGCTTGGGATTCTCTCTCCCTCTCTCCCTGCCCCTCCCCAGCTTGTGCGGGTACTCTCTCTCTCTCTCTCATGAGATAAACTTAGAAAGGGGGACCATGTGTTGATTTAAATGTAGCAGGTGGCAGAGACCAACACAGAATCAGAAAACACAGCTTCCGGGTGGAGGGTGAAACCGGGACTCTGGGTGAAGGCCTAGGAAGACCCTTCCAACGGTACCCTGAGCCCAGTCACACTGCTGACTCCTCTAGGAAGAGTCCAGCAGACAGAACTCCCTGAACTCCTCCCTGGCCCCCAACACACACCCTGCTTCTTCAAGGTGGTATCTGGCACAGGGTGGCAGGTCACCCGCTGGGCGCTTGCCCGCTGCCATCTCTCTCCCGAGCCACCCATGCCCTGGAGGTGGATGTCACAGCTCCGGTATCAAGGCGGGATGGCGAGCCAGGGTGACCTTGTCCTGTCCCAAGGCACCCCACAAGGGGCCCCCACTTGGTAGCGTCAGTTTGTAGCTGAGTCTCCAGCCAGGATGACCTCCGCTCTACCATCTGCGCTCCCGGCTCTGCCCGGCCGGTGCCTGCTGGGCTGCCGGTCACCCAGCAGCGTCTGCCCACCTGTAAGAGGCAGAGGCCACTCCTGCAAACCGTGAGCTTTCAGCACTCGGGGAGTCCCACCGTGGCCCTGGGGCTTCCCTGACACTCTGGAGGCTGTGGCAATGACAGGGCCAGGTCCGGGGCAAGGGGTGCGAGTGACAGGCTGGGAGGTACTGCAGGGATGAGGAAGTGAAACAAGCACTTGGCAGTGGCCTGGAATCCAGGGGACGGCAGCAGACGTCCCGCCTCCCGACACTGGGGACGGTTGGATTCCTGGACAGAACCGATTTGCACGCAATCCTTCCACGTCACCACTGGTCCCTGGCCCCTCATTGCACAGGAGAGAACGAAATGCTAAATTCTGACTTTGTTTCCTAGCGAAGCTGGAGAAACTCTGCAGAAAGAATCCCAAGATACTCCCCAGCCTGGAGGCCAGGTTACTGGTTTGAAAGAGTTAGGGTGCCCAACACTTTCCCACTGATCCTTCAAAGGAGCAGCAGCAGGGGCAGCTGGTGGGGGTGGTGGTTCTGAGAATCCAAGCCAGCTGACAGCAGGTCCTGATGTCAATTCTCACGGGCCCTTGCAATGGCCCAGGTCACTCACTGGTGGCTCCAGCTGCAGCAGCTTACAGGGATGCCGCTGAAAAGCACATGTGACTCACTGGACCCCTGCCTCCCAGCACCCTGTTCTGTGGCTGCTCCAGGGAAGGAGAGATAGAGAGAGAGAGACTGACTCATGTCAGCTGCACTGGCAATCACAGGATGTGGACGGAGGTCGCAGGGTGCAGGAAGGGAGGAGGAATTTTCCATTTGTTAAAGTCAAGGGCTTTGGGAAGCGACTGGTGGCCGCTGGTGGAGAAAGCTCCCTTCTTATCGTGATGCCACACACAGGCTGGCCTCTGGGTACAGCTAACATCCCAAATATTCTCATTCTGTGTGTGCATTTCAGTAGCATTCCTAGGAAGACACAGACGAGATCGTTTCCAGAGGACTTTCTGGAAATCAAATCACAAAATAAAAAAGCCTGTATCCTTATTTCCCAGGATGTGCTGTCCCAGAATAGCAATGAAGAGATGGTTCTTAGGAGGCCCTTCGAAGCATGCCGGCCGGATGGGTGCCTCCTCTTCCTGAGACAAGGTGACTGTGCATGGGGTGGGGGTGCTTTAAAGCTGTCTGCCGTCTTGCCCCATCTTTTGGTGAAGTCTGGCTGCTGGCAAAATCAGAGAACGCTGGTAGCAAGAGGCCTAGTGGGAGTCTTTAGAAGGGATGGATGGCTGAGGGGCAGGGAGGGGGAGGTACACCCCCACTCCCTAATGATCTAAAGAGGCCACCTGACGACGGAATGAAGACACAGGGATAAGCCCTGTGGGTCAGACTTCGGAGGGGAAGGTGCCCCTGTCACCTGCAGCAGAGCTCAGGACCAAGGAGGAAAACCCCTTCCAGCTCATGCAGGGTGGTGGGCCCACAGGTGGATGCACAGCACCCAGCACTGAGGGTCGGGAGGCGCATTCTTCAGAGCCACACGCCAAACTTCTGAGACGTCTGCCCTGAATTTCTCAAAGCCAGGCAGAAGAGCACATCTGAACTGAATACCTTAGGGGCAAACCCAAGCCCCCAGCGGTGGACCGGGAGGTTGGGGGGGGGCAACACCCCAGAGAGAATGGGCTCTTCTTCTGCTCACCCCCCAATTCTGATCTCTGTAGCTTTGGCAGGCCCCATGGCAATCAGCCCTATGAGTTATAAGAGCAATATCTGAAAGATGAAGGTGGTAATTAATGCCTGTCTGCTTTCCTGAATGGCGCCTTCTGTTCGGTCAGGGAGCTATTGAGATTCAAGGAGGGAGGCTCCCGTCATGTGGAAGGTTTACAGGAATAAGTGAAGGAACAATTTAATAAGGCAATAATAACGCTCCTAAATAATTTACCAGGCAAATGGCAGCAGCCAATATTCCCAGTACTCTGTATCTGTCGCTGGGGAGGGGCCGTGCCAGGCGAATTCAGCACAGAGTCTAACAGCCTCTTGTGGAAAGACCCGGAGGCCTGGCCCCCTGCCCGAGACATGTCTGTGTTGACCTCTTGGACCCTTTCCTCTACCTCCTCCTACAGCCAGTTAAGAGATTCAGATGGGTCCTTACACTTCACTACCACTTTGGCTAATTTTATCAACGACGCTTTGTTGAGATACTAAGATGCTAAGAGGCCTCAGCTGGGCTGCTCTCCCAGCAGGACCCCTCCCCAAGGCTGGGGAAGTGGGGAACAGTGCCAGGGAAGAACTTGCTATGGAATCTCCACCAGACCTGTGGAGGGGTGGCGGGAGGAGCGGGAGGGGATCTGAGATACGATTCTACTAAGAGCCAAGTTTCTAGCCATAGGTGAACAAGCGAGAGAAACAGCAGACCATCCGACCGCTCCAGCAACACAGAAGAGGAAAACCAATCTCTCCCGTGGCCTGGGCCACAGGACTCCTTCGGCAGGTCCACGGGGCGGGCCTGGGAAGGCATAACCACCCCTCAGTGTCCCTGGGTTAACAAACTCCGAACCAGGTGACATGGCTGGCGGGTCCTATGCAAGCCTTTGCCAGGGCGGGTAACAAAGAGGCCAACTGCCTGAAAGGCTCAGCTCTCTCCCGAATCCTGCCTCCCCTCCCCACCACAGCAGCTAAATGGCCACGTGTCAAACCGTGTGTCACTTTGTACACCTAAATCTGTGTCAGGGTTGAGGAGGACCAAGAGGAGGCAGAGAATATTAATAGATGCCGCAGGAGGGAAAGGGAAGCATCTCTGAGTCCCGCCTGCAAAGCAGGCAGAGATAAATAACTGACTCTGGTTTCGTATCTTATTACCCAAGACCCGTCTGGTGTGGTATTCAGCTCCAACTCCGCCCCCCAACCCCCATGGCACAGAGCAATTGAGAACAGCCTGGAGATTCATCTTCTTCCCTTGTCTGCAGGGAGGAGGGGAGACAGGGAGAGAGCTGGGCTTATCCTTCCCTATCCGGACAGCCTGTGTGTGGTCAGGGCCAACTGTTAAGATGGCTCAGTCCTGCCCAGCCAGGAAGCCAGGCACCTACCATATGCTCGGGGGCCGGCCAGGGGTTAGGCCAACACACGGCAACTCTCTGGAAAATTAGTTCTGACACTCTTAAAGAGCTGTGTTCAGGGCGTCCCTCAAACCCAGAGCTAAATTTACAAGAGTTCAGGGCCAGGAGCTGGCACGACCCAAATGCCAAATGCAAGCCACGTGTCACTGAGGCCTGGTCACCAGCACACGCAGACCGCGTTCTCAGTAACATGGTATGTTTTCTGCCCAGGACTGTGGCCCCATAACCAGCCAGAGCGTGGAGCTGTGTAGACCCTCCTCTCTGGTTCAAATGCCCCCAGATACCCAGGCCGGGCAGAGGCAAGGCCACTCACCAGGTAGATGCGGTAGGCATCCACACGGCGCAGGGGTCCCCAGCACGGGTCCGTGTCGTTGTGCTTGGCGTCGGCCTCCACACCACAGGACTCGTTGCTGGTGGCGCTGCTGATAAAGAGAAGAGTGGCTCAGTGTGGCCCCCGCTCAGCTGGAAGCAGACAGGACGTAATGTTACTATTAGCCACCGCTGAGCCTCCGCTCCCCCCACTGCGGCTTCAGGGCCAGACCACCTGATTCCCCACGAATCACATTCTCCTCCTAGGGCAGGTGCCACTTATTCCCGGGGCCCCTGGTGGGAATCCTAGTCATCTTGCCAATGGGGAAGGGAGGGGGACAGTGACGAGGGGCACATTTCCAAAGGGCAGAGTGCACGGCCAGCTGCGGTGCATGTAGAAAAGGGCCTTGGGCATCTCCGTCCTTTAGATACTGACAGTTTGCTTGGAGTTGTGCTTCTACCAACAGCTCTTACCCAACTGGTTGAGGGGGGGGCAGGGAGATACTCACCAAGTCACCTGCATGAGGGAGAAGGGCACGGCGGCAGCGTAGATGGCCAAATCCCCGTACAGGTAAACGATAATGCAGAAGTAGAACAGGTTGACCCCCACTGAAAGGAAAAGAGTCACTGGTCAGGGGGCCACAGAGATGCCCACGGTCCTTCCTGACGGTGAAGTTTCTACCTCTTCCATAGCTTTCCTTTCTCAGGCTGTTTACTTTCTACATAAAGAAAACAACGGCGTCCCGTGGCCCGTGCTGCCTGGCTACGCTGCGATCCGGCAGAAGACACAGGCGCCCCGGACTTTCACCTGCGAGGCTGAGTGAGGCTTGGGGCATCAGACGCTCCGAAAGCAGGCAGGTGCGGGGTGCGGGGGGGCTGGAGGGGAGGGCTGGCTGAGGAGGCTCAGAGGGGCCTTCACGCTTGGGACAACCTGGCTGGGCAGGAGAAGGAGAGGGACCCTGAGTCAGGAGGCTGAACCCCAGTGCCCCTGGATCAGGGCCCCCTTTGCAGCCAAACACACGACTCTACAATAGAGGCTGGTGGTAAGGAACTGAAAAGCAAAGATAACAACAACAACAAAAAACGGTCTAGCTTCTGATGCTGAAATCAAGAGGGTAAAAAGCCCCTGATTTCCAAAGGCCAAGTGCCTCATTTTGAGTTTGATTATTCACCAAGCCCTGGACAGGAAGAGGTGGCTGGGGGTGTTGGTGACAGAGGGGGCAGCAGGAGGAGGCCCTTAAGACGAGCTCACTGTCAAAATGTTTGCAAGGGAGGACACTGCCTTTGTTTGGAAGGTGCACGGGACGCTCCCTCTAGAGGCAAACCTTGCTCTCCTCTCCCTCCGGGTGGGGGCGCTGCTCTAGCCCCAATGCTACTCACCTCACTTCCTGACCTTGGCAAGTCCCTGACTATCTCCAATCCTGCACAATGAGAATCACTGTACCCGTGCTAAATTCCATATGCAATTCCAGCTTTAAAGACCAGGTGTAAAAGCTCTGAAAAAAGCGTCTGGGCCCTACAACTTCAGGGTCACGCCCCCAGACAGCCGCTCTCAAACTCCTGTTCAGACTGACTGCTCATTTTTGATGTCATTGGTCTCAAGTTGCTGCCTTCTCGGAAAATAGAAAGAAAAATGAAGTGACAGCTCCCTTCTAATCTTGGTGGCTCTGAAGAGCCTCCAGGGTCCCCAAGGGGAAAGCCGGGGACATATTCCTCCTGGGCTATTTGAGGTCAGCTCTGCTCCTAGGAGTCTGGGGGAAAAAAGACTAGGAAAATACGGTTCTTGCAAGAACTCTGTAGGGCCTCAGACAAAGTCAATGTCCAAGCTCAGTGGCCCCTGGGGTCTGGCTGTCACTCACATCCCAGGCTCCAGGTACAGCCCGTGCTCCAGCCTGTCTTTCTGCTCTGACACCAGTGTTCTCTGCGGAGAGGTACTGTCCCCTCCCCACTTACCCTTCTCCTCCACTCGCCTGTGGACTGCAGTGCCAGCTCTGGTTACAAACTGCCACTGGCCCTCCCTGATCAATAAATTTCATTACTAGACACAAAACGGGAAGATCAATGAACTTCCTAAGAAGACAGCAATGACGAGGCCTGGCACTGCTGGTCACAAGTGAGCCTGGACCCCAATGGGGCTTGTTGTGGGGGGTGGGGCTCCTTCCGAAGGGGGAAAGAGAACTGCCCACGAATTAGGCATAGAGCAGAGCAGTGGTTTTTCCCTGGGAGTGTTTTTGCCTTGCAATCCTCACCGGGGACATGTGACAACATTCGAGGACGTTTTGGTTGTCACGACTGGCAGGTGCTACTGGCACGTAGTGGGTGGAGGCCAAGGATGCTGCCCAGCATCCACAACGCACAGGACAGGCCCCACGGCAAAGAAGGACCCAGCCCAAGTGTCAACAGTGCCGAGCGTGGGAAATGCTAAGCAGAGGAGAAAGTGTCCCCTAAGTTCTCGTATGAAAGGGCTCCTTTTTCTGTTAGACTTGGGTAAACTAGAAGTCTCATCTGGAGGGGAGAAAAAACACCCAAACCACGGGTTCCTAGAACTGTCACAGAAGTCAGGGCGGATGGTAAAACATACTCATCAGAAAGGAAGCTTCAAAGGTGCATTTTCTTTCCAAAGCTTGCATTTGCAGGGGGATGTGTGCGGCTGCCAGGGGAAATGTGTACGCTCTTATCTTCGTCTAACGAGATGGGGAGAGATAGGAATGGAGCAAAAGAAAATCACAGAGTGCGCGGGACACAACCAGTCTGGTTTTCATGAATTCTGGAAGCCTCTGTGAGGCTGGTAGGGAAGCAGGAACCAGACCCTCAGGCAATCTTTGGCTGAGGAGCACAATATTCCAGACTGGATGGTCAGATTGCACCACCAGTGATAAACTGAATGCTTCATGTCCTGAAAAGCAGTCAAGGAGACTCTAGTTTCTAGAATTCCCCAGGTTCCAAGTTACTGCAGCCACATTCGAGACAAGAAAGAGCCAGTGGAGATGCCACCCCTCTGGGACCAAGGGGCAGAGATCTTCCAAAGATAAGATCCTTACAAAGACAAGGATTTATTGAGATGCGTCTGACTATCTCTAAAGGGGAAACAGACAGGTTTGGGCACTGAAAAGCCAAAGTCTTAAATAGCACATCTTCCAAAGGACGTCTGCCGGGGAGGTACACGGTGTTGTCACTGAACACTCAGCGACCCAGCATCCGAGCTGGGGGCAGAGGTCCCTTCAGATGTAGGGAGTCCCACTAAGGAGCAGGCAGAGTGAGGAGGGGTCATGATCACACACTTAGATTCCCAGACAGCAACCTTGTGTGTGGACTCCTTGCGCCCTCTGCTGGCCACCGTGGTGGTGGCGAGACAGACAGAGAGAGAGGAAGAGAGAGAGCGAGGCGCACACACACAGAGGCGTGTACATGGTGTATCCTGCCATGGTCACAGGTAGCTGCCCTGTGTTGTTCTAGACGGAACAGTCCAGAAGGAAAGAGAGACAAGTCAGAAGCAATCAGGCGAGAGGCACAAAACTACCAGCCAGCCCCACTGGCTTCCTTCCTTGGAAAGCTGCTTCGGATTCCTGACCTCTCCGAGCAGGGTGGCCACGGAGCTGCCTCTCTATTCCCCATGCTGATGAGCGGAGAGGGATCCAGGAAAGCAATGTGAGTGGTTTGGGCCTCTCGGCCAGCCTGGCGGCCTCGCAAACTCACTGAGAGCTGGCCGACACCGGCGGCCCCGTCCCTAGCTGTCAGTCTATCGGATTGCCTTCGCCCCACCTTGAGAAAGAACGCGTACCTTTATTGAAGAACAGGGAGGCCATCTGTCCCATCTCCACCCGGTCTGTGATTTCAAAAAGGTTCTGAGATCCGCGTCTCTCTGTGGAGCCAAAAGAACAAGGGAGGGGAAGTGGTTTTCACTCGGAAAAGCTCCTGGAGGGGGTGCTAAGCTCACTAAATTCTCCAGATTGAGGAAATCCTCAAGCAATTAAAACTTAAAAAAAAATGTTTTTTATGTTTATTTTGAGAGCGAGTGAGCATGAGTGGGGGAAGGGCAGAGAGACAGCAGGGAGAGGATCCCAAGCCGACTCCGTACAGTCAGCGCAAAGCCTGATGCGGGGCTTGAACTCACAAACCACGATATCACGACCCGAGCCGAAACCAAGAGCTGGACGCTCAACCAACTGAGCCACCCAGGTATCCCAGCATTTCAAGTTCTTGGGGAAACTTCTAATGTTTCCCCACTTGAAAAGTTTTAAAATGGTGTACGGAAAGGGATCCCAGGGATGCTCGTAGCGGAGGGGAGAAGGAAAGCTGGGTCACGGGGCCCTGGCTCGGCTGGACCGGGAAGGGACCTGTCAGGCACACGTGAGTGGGGGACAGGAGGATGAACTGGACACCCCACATTTGCTCGAGCTTCCAGTGTGCCTGGAGAACTGAGCCGTGAACTTCAGCAAGTGGTGGAGCCAGCAAGGGGAAGCCTGGGCCCCCAGCTCATGCTCTGGCCAGACAGTCTCTGCAGAGAGACCCCCTTGCTCTCTCTACAAGGGAAGAAACTTGTGGACTGGAGGTAGGTGCCTGCCGGCCCATAACCCCAAAACTTACGCACTGACAGGATGGGTCGCTTCTCTGCCCGCTCATAGTTGTCCTGAACAAGGACGTCACTGTCGGAGGCCGTGGAGGAGTCATCCTCTTCCTCCTCCTAGGAGGGGGTGGGGTGGGGAGAGGGTGGAGGACAAACAAGGAAAAAGGAGGGGCACATAACTCTACAGAAATCCCGTAGGAAACTGGAAAACCCATTTCCTTTGATATTTCTTTCCAGAAGGTGTCAGATTAGGGGCACCTCTCAACACCTCCATGCGGTCACATGAGAAGGCACACACACTCAGATAGATGTCAGATCTGAGGCTGCAGTGCTGTTCCTGGGGGTACAGAGGTTCAGGATGACGAGTGAGCTCATGGTAGGGGGTCAAGGGGACTCACGACATGACGTTAAGGGAGCAGAGGCCGCCTGTGTTTGTTCAGTGGCTTATGTGGCTGTGAAACTCTGGCTCAGGACAAGGGCTTGGAGGCATGCTGTGGACATGAGCTGCCTATGCATCAGGAGGGAAGGACCTGGCCCCTGAGAGCTGCCCCTCCTGGCGCACAACTGGCCGGAGGTGCTGCCCGGAGCCAAGGGCGATACACTCACCTGGTGGTTTTCCATCCTCTTCCAGCGGAGCTGAGCGTTGGCCGCGGCCATGGCCTCTACCACAAAGGTAGTCGTCACAAAGCTGTGGGGAAAGGCCGCAGTTTAACTGCCAAAGGCAGGTGGGAGGTCGGAGGTGGTACAATGACAAAGGAAGAACCATTTCAAGACCAACAAGCACAGCACATTCTCTCTTCTGAGAGCTGTTCCCTAGGGGACTTTCAGGATGCATCTGCCTGATAAAATGTGTGCGCATAAGGGACGCCTTGCGTGCTTGCCTTCATGTCCTTGTCTATGTTTAGAATATGTTTTGATGCACGGGAGAGAGGGGTGTGAAATAAGCTGATGGGGGCCGGGGGTAAAGCGTGAGCCCGGGTGAAGAGGGGACACGGGGCGATGTGGTACCGCACACCGTGAAGGGGCCGGCTGGGGGCAGAGCGGGCGGAGGCCGAGTCACAATGGGCCTTCTGGAAGCTTGTGGGAAGGGCGGCGGGCAGCTGTCCACTCTCCGCGCTGGGACACAGACAAGCAGTCAGCTCCCAGGCCCATACACTGACGGATGGGGCACAGCACGGACAAGTGAAAAGGACATTTGGCTCCAGAATGTGCTTCCATGTTTCTGTCTTTCCTTCCTTCCCTCTTTGGCAGTACCTTTACTTTCCTTAATAACCTAGCCGCGAATGTAAAAATAAGCTTGCATTTTTACGGCTCGAATCAAAAAGGACACTGAGAGGTGACACCACACATTTGCTGAGGAGTCAAGCTAGAGTGCAAAACCATCTTCTCTCCTCTTCCTCTTAGAGAAGCTGGAGAGGCCCGGACTTCAGCCGGAGCTGGAGCGCAGGGGTGCTCCTGTGAGCAGAGCTGCCGAGAAAGCCCCCCTCCTGCTGGTAAACCCAAGGGCTGAGTCTCTCCCTGCTGAACAGCCTCAGATGGCACAGTCCTCTCCCTCCTTGAAGCTGTAGCCCAGCCCTCCCCAGGTGCCTTCATCTGCCACAGGCTGACCACTCAGCCACATCTACCCCACCTTGGGGGGCGGAGGGAAGCCAGTCCTGAAACTCCTATTCCAGGGCCTCAGCACCTTCTAGAAAGGGTTCTCATGATCTTGCCTAAGTGACCATTTTGAGGACTTCAGATTTTTCCCTTCTTTTTGCAAATAAAAGTAGAATCAATCTTAGTTAAGGCATAAAGAGGCTTCTCATGGTTGCACAAAGCCAACTCATCGATCATGTTCAAATATAAATGGGCTGAGCAGGGAGGGGACGTGGCCACCCCTACCTGGAGGCCCCCAATAATCACCTCCCATTCAAACAGATGACTGTGCTGAAGGTCCTTTAAAGGGGACAGCAGAGTCACAGAAGGATAAGGACTTACAGGACATAATAAGCCAAGGATGGCCACAAAACCCCCCAAAAGAAAATGGGTGAAGAAAGAGAAATGTGAGTGTTTTCCCATCCAGCCTCTTCTATGTCCCAAGTTGCTTCACCTGTAACCTGTCCCATCCTTCCACCCAGTGCTGCCTCCTTCCCATCCGCGGAACTGCTACCCTCTGGGACCACCGACTACACTACCTACTAGAAGCTGCCATCGCCCCCATGCTCCCCATGCCCCGCCCTGCTCTGGTCCATAGGGTTTTTCCAAGTTACTCATCACCTTATCACCTTCCAACAGACTCCTGATTCGTTTTCCCCAAAGTCTTTGAGGGCAGGGATCTTTGTTTTGTTGACCCAAGAACAGTGCCTGGTGTCACTTCTCCCAGGGAAGGTCCCCCTGGGGGCATGTTTCCAGGTGTTTCCTCGCCTCTTTTTGGCAGCCCTGGAAATGCTACCTGGAAACGCGTTCCCTTGTGCGTCTGGGGCACTTGCCGAATGACTCCCCACCTGCACGTAGAATCCCTAAGAGGAGCCTCAAGTAGGATCTTCCCTGTGAAGCACCAGCTGGTGAACCCCACACATCTGGCTCAAGGAGCAGGCGCCCCTGAAAACTTGGGAGGGCGCTGGCCACCTATTTGCTGCCAGGCACAAGGCGGGATGAGATTAACATGTGATTATGTGCCTGCCCGTGTGTTAATCACTTACTCTGCAGGCTATCTTAAGCAAATTCTAAATTCCAAACTGCCTCCTCTTATCACCGTAGATGTTTGTCAGATTCTTTTTCGGTGGCCAGGTGCTATTTTCTCAGAGAACAAAAATTGAGGGTACCATTACTAAAGCACACAACCCGGGAGGTCAACCAGCCGGAGAGGCAATGTGAGCGCCACGTGAAACATTCCAGAGCCCAGTTGGAGGTCTTGATTCTTAACTGATCACGTTGTGTAACTGCTCTGCTAGCACGAGACCCAGAGACCTTTGTCCTTTCCTGTCTCTGGGCCACCCTGGTTAGGATTCACTGTGGACATCTCCCCGCCCCCCAGGCACGGAGTCAGGACTTCCCAGGCAGCCTCCTCCCAGCCCCCGGGTGCCAGCCTCTTACCTCATGAAGCCCAGGAACACCAGCAGGGCCAGGCTGACGAGCCACCCGGCGGTGGCAAAGGCCTTGGGCATGGTGAGTGCCCCAGTGCCCACGATGAGGTTAAACATGTACACCAGTCCCACCTGGAAGCGACGGAAGTGACATTCAAGCTCTGAAGTTAATTAACCTCTCCCCGCAGCGGCTCCCGAAGATGACCCTGGGTGACAGCCAAACTGGAGGCAGGGAGGCCAGAGAAGCAGGTCAGAAGGGAGACTTCTGCCGAGGCTCTAAGGAGCCATGCTGTGCAACCAAATGCTGGGGAAGCGAACATCAATACTTGGAAGGCTAAAGTCCCGCATTCTGTCGGACCTTCCAAGAGGGCTCTGGTGTTCGGTTCCTTCTCTGCTTTTGGGCACTTGCCATTTCCTATTACTCAAAGCTTCATCTCAGATATTAACTCTCTGCCCAGCCAGGCTGTAGGCTTCCTGAGGACACACCACCACATCTGGGGGACCCGGTACAAGGATGAACCGTAGTGCTGACCTAAAAACACCTCCACTCTTCCAAGACCTCCCAGCACATGACCCAACTCTGCTCTTGCCCGTTCTTGCCATTCTCCTTCGGGATGTCAACACTCACTGCTGCTTCAGTTTCCCTACCATCCTGCCCACACTAACTTCAGGGATTTTTATGAAAATTGAGACAGTTCACATGTCATGAAATTTGCCCTTTTAAAGATATTTGCAAAGGATATATCTGATAAAGAATTAGCATCCAAAATGTATAAAGAACTTATATAATGGCCAAACCCCAAATAGTCCAATTAAAAAACGGGCAGAAGAAATGAACAGGCATTTCCCCAAAGAAGACATTCAGATGGCCTACAGACACATGCAAGGATGCCCAACATCAGTCATCATCAGGGAAATGCAAGTGAGACATCACCTCACTCGTCAGAATGGCTGAAATCAACAACACGAGAAACAACAAGCGTTGGCAAGGATGTGGAAAGAAAGGAACCCTCGTGCACTGCTGATGGACTGTACACTGGTGCGGCCGCTGTGGAAAACAGTATGGGGGGGTCCCACAAAAAGTTAGAAATAGAACTACCTATGATCTGTAATGACACAAGTCTAAACCAAACTGACTCCATGACAGGCTTTAAGTTTCCCCTCTAAACTAGAAGGCCCAAGTTTCAGCTTCCCCGAAACTATCAGGCAGTTACACATTACCCAAGGCAGGAGAAACCACCCTTGCAACACCCAATCAGGAAAGGCCAGCGACCACCCTCCACATTACTAAGGGAGAGGCCTATAGATAGAAACTATAGATAGGACCCTGTTACCTAATGTTAAAGTTAACCTTTTAGTTTCCTAACAAGTCCCTAGGCTTTCTCTGTGATTGGTTGAATTTAAAGGTACTCTAAACATTGTAATTGGATCCCGCCAAAAGTAACAAATACTCTAGTAACAAATACTCTAGACAATGTGCATGGTTAAACCCGCTGTCAATGATGTTGAATAATAATGATTGGATCATTGTTCCCATGCCACAACTTCGGTAACTTCCCCATCACAAACCCCATAAAAACCCTACTCCTCCATTGTTTGGGGCTCTCAGCACGGATCCACTGCATTGGTGAGGTCTGGGAGCCCGAGCTTAAGCCTGAATAAACGCCCTTTGCTTTTGGATATGTGACTTGGACTCCTTGGCAGTCTTGGGATTTTGGGGAGATCGCGATCTGGGCATAACAATCCAGCAATTACATTACTGGGCATTTACCCAAAAAATACAAAAACACTAATTCAAAGGGATACATCCACCCCTGTATTAATTGCAGCATTACAACAGCTAACTAATGGAAACAGCCCAAGTGTCCGTCAATAGATGAATGGATAAAGAAGTGGCACACACACACACACACACACACACACACACACTGAAAGGTTATCCAGCTATAAAAAGAATGAAATCTTGTCACTGGCAACAACATGGATGGATCCAGAGAGGATAACGCTAAATAAGTCAATATAGAAAGATAAATACCATATGATTTCACTTGGATGTAGAATTTAAGAAACAAAATGAATGAGAAAAGGAAAAAAAAAAAAAGACTAACAGAGTATTAACCACAGAGAACAAACTGATGGTTACAGAGGGGAGGTGGTGGGGGGATGGGGATTATGGAGTGCGCTTGTGAGAATGAGCCCCCGGGGTTGTACGGAACTGAATCGTTGTAACACTGTTAACCATACTGGAATTAAAATTTTAAACATCATTTAAAAAATCACCCTTTTAAAGGACACAGTTCAGTGGTTTTTAGCACCACCATCTGATGCTACTTCATCCCTCCAAAAGGAAGGCAGGTACCCACCAGCAGACCCTCTCCATGGCCCCTGACCACCAGCCTCTGAGAGCAATTGCTGGATCACTACTTCACGTTTTAAACTCTCATTCACGTCAACTTGATTCTAGCTGTTTTGTTCTGTTTTTTTAAGTTTTTTTTTTTAATGTTTATTTATTTTTGAGAAAGAGAGACAGAGAACGAGCCTGAGTGAGGGAGGGGCAAAGAGAGGAGACACAGAATCTGAAGCAGGCTCCAGGCCCCGAGCTGGAGCACAGAGCTCTCAACGCGGGCCTCGAACTCATGAACCGCGAGATCATGACCTGAGCCAAAGTCGGACACTCAACCGAATGAGCCACCCAGGTGCCCCTTGACTCTAGCTGTTAATTGTAATTTTCCTGTTTCTAGATCCTCGATCAGGAAATTCGCTTCTCTGAGCTGAAGACTCCTGGCAGCGCCCCCCTCCCCAGGCAGACCCCCCCCCACCACCACTCTGGCCTCACTCACATTCTTCGGCATCATTTACAATGATTTACATCATTGAGTTCCACAAAGAACTTTCTACCCAGAACCCACAATTCACGCACCCTCCCCTGTTCTGACCCTCCGGACCCAGGCCTCGGACAGATCCTGCTTCCTCTATTCCCTATATGAAGCTGCTAAAAGTTCCTAAGTTGTTATTTATTTTATTTATTTATTTTAATTATAATGATTGGTTCCACCATAAACCAATGGTTCTTTTACCTGTGGTCCAACATCGATTTTCTTTATTCCATCATGGACTTCTTGGCATTTCCCATGGCAAACCATCCAGCCTCTTCAAGCCCTAGCCCCTGACCCCCACCTCTCTCAGTTGAAGGCTGCATCCTATGTCATGGAGGTGACCGAGGCCATCTGACGTGCCCTCCCCCAGCCTCACTCCCTCCTCATTCCAAAATCAGTGTCTGCATCCTCCCAACTCCTTCTCTGCCTGTGGGGAACATGTGTCCCTCCTGCACCCGAATATCTGGGCTCAGTCCTTCTTTCTGAAATCTTCCTAGGAGCTCCTCCCCTCTGCCTATAAATGTGCTTGATACCTTTAAAATACAACTGTCTCGGGTGCCTGGGTGGCTCAGTCGGTTGGGCGTCCGACTTCAGCTCAGGTCATGATCTCACGGTTCGTGGGTTCAAGCCTCGCATCGGGCTCTGTACTGACAGCTCAGAGCCTGGAGCCTGCTTCGGATTCTGTCCCTCTGTCTCTGATCCTCCCCTGCTCATGCTGTCTCTATCTCTCTAAAAAATAAATAAAATATAAAAAAATTAAAAAATAAAAAATAAATAAAACACAACCGTCTCAGGGTGGCTGGGAGGCTCAGTCAGTTAAGCATCGCCTTCAGCTCAAGTCATGATCTTATGGTTTTCAGGTTCGAGCCCTGCACTGGGCTCTGTGCTGACGGCGCATGGAGCCTGCTTGGGATTCTTGGTCTCCCTCTCTCTCTACCTGTCTCCTACTCCCACTCTCCCAAAAATAAATAAACATTAAAAGAAAAAACCCACAATCCTCTCACTACCGTTAGCCACACTCACCAAAAAAGCTACCTATTTCCTCTACCTTCATTCCAAGTTTCTGTACTTTGTGTTTCCATCCCCAGAGCTCTTTTGAAACTACGTTCAAGATCACCAGTGATCTCCGATTCGCCCACTCCAATGACTTTCTTAGTCTTTATTCCTTCTCACACTCTGATGTAAACGGTCTCTCTTCCCTCTGAAGCAACTTCACTCGGTCCAGCGGCTTCACCTCCGCATCAGCCTTTCTGCAGACCTCAGATCCGCTGTCTCTAGTTGTCCCTGCCCGCCCGCTTCTGGGGATCCCGGCCCTCGCGATTCTACTTCTGAAGGGTCTTCTGTCACTACCTCTGGTCAGACTCTCGCTCACAACCTAAATCACTTCCAGCCTGGGCTGTGACTGCCACTCCCAACGGGTCTTCCTGTGCTCTAGGACACGGGCTGACTTACAGTTTGCTTTACCGCTTGTTCCTGTTTAAAACAGCAACAGAACACTTCATCTCTGGGAACACCTACCCATCTCTCATTTTTACTTCCCTGTTCTTTGAAACATGTACTTTTCTATATATATACATATACGTATGTTTTAAAGTTTATTTTGAGAGAGACCACACAAGAAAGAGAGAGAGACGGGGGTGGGGAAGGAGAGAGGGAGAAAGGGAGAAAGAGATGAGGGAGACAGAGAGATAGAATCCCAAGCAGGCGCTATGCTCAGCGCAGAGCCCAATGTGGGGGTTCATTCCATGACCCTAAAATCACAACCTGAGTTGAAATAAGAGTCGGACACTTAACTGAGCCACCCAGGCAGCCTGCACTTTTCTACGTTTAGAAAAATTTTCTAAAATAAACGTGTGCTGAATTTTTTATCACACAAATTGGGGCCCATTCTCTCAGCGTTTTTTTTTTTTTTTTTAATAATGCTGGGAGGGAGAAGGGGCCGGGTGGTTTAGGGAGAGACTGGCTTCCAGGCAGGCGTGGAGTGCACATCTGGGTGGACAGGAAGGCACCCTGTAGACGGGAAAGAGCTCTGCTCAGAGTCCACTTACAGTTGGCATGGGCCACCAGCCCCTCGAATCCCACCCAGCACTCATGCAAATGCCACTTCCGCCATAAAGTCCTTCTAGTCTCGCTCCCTGCTTTTGAACCCCTAGGCAAGAGTACATATGTCCTGGTTTGGGTTCTCGATGTTGGTGTACTCATTCGTTCCCCATTGCTGCATCTGAGGCTCACCGTGGCCTGGGTGTCGCTTCTCCGAGTGCCCGGCACACAGCCTCCAGCTAGGAATCCTTGCCTGAGCTGACTGTACCTGGCGAGGTCCTTTCTCACGTGAGCCTCACAGTCTCTGTCCCATGGCAAACACCACGGTCTCAGTGTGATCACACAGACAGACCCCAGAAGGATTAAAACAAGTCTGGCCCGTGTTCCTACATCCCTCCCTGCAGTTCTGTTCTCTGCATGTTGCCCTTCTAAGCAGGTCTGCCCCATGAAAGGTGGACCCTTTCTCTTTATGGAAAATGGCCTCGGTGAAGTTTCTCGCGATAGAAGTAAAGAGAAAGTGACAGTTCTTAGCCAAAAGTTTTGTAAGGAAACAAAACAATAGAAGCGGCATTTCGGAATTCAGTGATACCTGAAGGTCTTGAGGTGTAAGGGTCAGGGGTCTATTGTAGAGCAGGGGTCTCTGCCTGAAGCTGGGGCCAGATTCTTCTTTGTTGTGGGGCTGTCCCGTGGACTGTAGGGTGCATAGCAGCATCCCCGGTCTCCACCCACTAGGCTCCAATACTCCCCATCCTTGAGCCTGTGCTGTGATGATCACAAATGTCTCCAGATGTTGCCAAGTGTCCTGAGATGGTGGGGGGAGGGGCAAGACCACCACCAGCTGAGAACCACTGCTGATAAAGACACACTCCCAACAGATACTTCAAATAAGTCTTGGTGAGAAAAGACCCTCTAAGGGGCGCCTGGGTAGCTCAGTCAGTTAAATCTCTGACTCTTGCTTTTGGCTCCGGTCATGATCCCAGGGTTGTGGGATCGAACCCCACATCAGACTCCGTGCTGGGTGTGGAGCTCTAATAAAAATTTTTAAAATATTACACATTAAAAAAAAAAACCTTTAAGAACTTTACAAAGAAGTTAACAGGGATACGTTGTTAGCAGTTGGGAGCAGAAATGGGTAATCACGTTTGTCCTGCACTATCGCTATTTTTCAGTTTCACAGGCTGTACTCTGGGCCTAGTGGGGCTCAGGGAGTCCTGTAGGAAAGCATGAGACTTCTTCACTTTCCTGGCAAGAATTAAACCCTCCCGCCCTCAGTAAAGATGCCAGTGAGGACCAACTAGGAGTAGATTTATGGAGCAGGAAGCAGATCTGAGCTAGGCCACAAGCCAGGTCAAAGGTAGTTGTGAGGCAAGAGGAAGAGGAAGGAGACATTCTCTTCTGCTGGTTACCTGACGGTTCTGCGGGGACAGCCTCCTGAAAAGTGGGGCCGAAAGCAGAATAAAGCCCCGCTTCAGGCTAAACCGTCTCTTCCCCTTCTCCACTCTTCCTTGGGATGGGGGACCTGGTCTCATGCCCTAGGGAAGTCAGTGCGGCATTCCTGCTGCCCTACCTCTCGCCCAGCGGCCTCACCCGCAGGCGTGCACGAGGCAGGAGCTAGCGGCGGTTTCGTCCGCTTCCCCAAAGACAGTTGTCAAAGGAAACAGAAGGCAGAAGAGATGCGGAAGCGAGTGGCCTGTCCTTTGAAAGCAAAAGCAACGATCTTTGGCCAGCTTGGCCGGCAGGAGGGACCCTCGGCAGCTGACCCTCATGCAGGTGGGGGTCCACGTCATCCTCCATTTGGATCACAGAGTGCCCGCAGTCCTGAGCCGCTCCCGGCCCTCGTAAATAGGGAAACAGACATGCCTGTTCCGAGGTCACTTTGAGGAGGTGGGGGTGGCATGCGGGCCTGAATTGCGTTCTGAATCCAGCACTGTCCTCGAGAGGGCCCGTCACGTGAGTCCTCTGTGAGGCTGGTCTGCCCGGCACAGCTATCTTATGCTGGAAGCAAACATCCCTAACACCCAGGAAGCGGGAAAGAACTGACGGATGGATAACACAGGCCGCGAGAGGCTCTGTGTGCGGAAGAACCCCGGTTACGGGCCGATGCACGTTCGCGAACCAAGTAAGGGCTCAGTGTCCCGGTTTCCCGAGACCTTGAGGGCGGCTCCTGCCTGTCCTGTGCTGAGCGGGGAGACTCCAAGCCGTATCCGCAGTGGAGGGATTTCCACTGCTTTTCCGGGCTCCATCGGTGGGGAACCTTGTGCCCTTCTCCTGTTCTCACAAGGGATCAAGAACCACACTCTCCCAGGACGGCAGAGTTGGGGAAACCTCAGGACAAAAAGGCACGGTCTCTCCTTGAACCCTGACCGCTGGCTTCTGCCTAACACCACCTCACCCTCCCCACCACCCATCTCTCCCCTACCGCTCTCTCCCCTACCGCTCTCTCTCCACCCGTAGGATAAGAGAATGCAAGCAGTTGTTTGTGGCAAATGCCCAGAGGAGGCCCTCAAACACAGACCTCAAACAAAGCCAAACACACAGGAAAACGGGGCGGGAAGCAGAACCCACCAAGGCCTTCAGGCCTCCCTGCCCAGCTTCCTGTGGGTATATGCTGACGTGTGAAATGATTACGTGAACAACTGGAGGCACAAGAAAAGTGAGCCTATCAAAGGGTTTTTCTTTCCAAAACTCAGTTACAGAAATAACTCATTTTCTTATCTCTAAACGTATGGATGCTCTGAGAAAGAGGAGGAACTTTTATGGACAATGTGGACATTTCACTGCTGATACTAAGAAGAGGCCGTGAGCTGTTACCCAATTTCTCAGATGAGAGGAGCACAATTAGATTCAGTCCAAAGTTCAAGAAAGGCTTCCCTTGATAAATTATGGAGGGGAAGGGGGCTCCTTTAGTGCCATACGCAAAAGGCACAGATCCAGTAGGAAGCCTCTGGCGTGAGAATGGCTTTTTGCCAGCTATTTTCAGAGATGCTTCCCTTTTTTATGTTTTTACTTTAATTTCATTTTTGAGAGAGACAGCATGGATGGTGGAGGGGCAGAGAGAGGGAAAGAGAATTCCAAGCAGGCTCTGCACTGTCAGCACAGAGCCTGATACGGACTTGAACTCACAAACTGTGAGATGATGACCTGAGCCGAAATCAAGAGTCATATGCTTCATTGACTGAGCCACCCAGGCGCCCCTCAGAGATGCTTCCTTATCCATCACACCACAGCTCTAGAGTCTGCGAAGCTAGCCAAAACAAAGCAGGGATTCCACAGGTTAGGAAGTAAGTGCAAAGCAGGGCAGCTGTTTAAGGTTAACTAAGCTCTAGAAAGAGGACTTCCACTACTTAAGGCAGTGCTGCTTTTCCCTGGGATACTCAGTAGCAACATGAGTCAATCACTTGATTATTCCAATCCTCCAGCCAGGTATCTGGGCAAGAGGAGTCCGTGATGTAACCACAACCAATATTTTATTATGCAAGGAAGATAAACTGGGCGTACCTGTGGGGTGTGTGTGTGTGTGTGTGTGTGACGCAGACTCAACACAGTAAGAAATCAATCCTTCTAATTGTTCTAATTACAGACTCCAGCAAACAGCACTTGGAAGCCTCGGAATGCTTTCTCTGCCTCTTACGCCATCCAGGACTATAAAAGCGGTACAATTTACAGTTCAGCTGGCAATCAAAGTGCTTTCAAGCTGCTGAGATGAATGAACCCAGAGTCTACAGCCGTCAATCACCATCTACACGCAGGAACACAGTCTGCAAGTGCTAGTGGCCCTGGCATAAATAACCCAAGGAGTTAGCAAGTCAGCTGTTTCCTTGACTACTCTGACCAGCATCTGACACGTGCCATCACATGCTCTGAGCCAGGACAGCGGCGACATGGCTCCTGTTGAATGGAGTTCCCTCACCCCGGCTTTCGCCAGGGTCTAAGAGCAGCAGCACTCGCTAGTACAGTCCAGGAAGCACGGTGCGTCTCTGGGAGCCAGGGGCAAGCATGGGGGTAAAACAGGTTCTAAAGGTAAAACTCACGTAGGGAGAATAGAGCTCCCCGGTCTCTGTGATTTCACCCGCCATGTCCAAAAGTGAGGAAAGGTCGGTCCGTAGCCGGATTTCTTTAGGTGTCTTCCTTGCCGAGGCCGCAGCTCCTGTGGCTTCCTGAGGCAAAAGAGCAGACTTCAGCTTTCTGATTGACCTCGACGGGGGTGGGGGCAGCTCTGGAGAGTACCCCTCCCCCGCCCCCTGTACTTTTATTACCGACGTGGCCTCATCTGTCATGAGACAGCTCTAGATGACGGACACCTGGGTGGTTTCCTCCAACTTCTTCCTCGCTGTGCGGGGCATGAGTGCATTCAGCGCCGCTCAGACTCCAACTGAGAGGAGGAGACCCACAGGCCAAGTACCGCGCCCCCCACTACAAGCGCCCCGTTTGCACACTCTTAAGGGGCTATCCGCGTTTAATGCCAGGAACAGCGAGCTCACTACCACACAGGACAGCCCAGATAACTGTCACCTCCGCCTAAGGCAACAAACTGGGGGCTTTCCCAGGTCGCCCTCCCACCCAACTCCTGGTCCCCAAAACTCTCCTTTTTAACGAGCCCTCCGCTCCCCGCCACCCCCAACCTGTTTTCCGCCCTGCCTCTGGGCTCCCCAGCCTCAAGCCTCCCCCTCTTCTCAAGAGCCCCTCTCCGAGCCTTCCCCAGGCTTCTTCCTCCCTCCTGGAGGGACCCCGAGCCTGGCGTCGCCTCATCCCATCCCACCCTCCCGCCGGGCCGGACACCTGCACCCCGGCTCGCTCCCGGCCGCCGCGGCCGCCGCCTCCGACCCCTCCACTGCTGCCGGCGCCAGCTGTCCTGCACCAGCGCGCGCAGCACGCATGCGCCCGCGTTCGGAGCCCACCTAGCCTGTGCGCGCCCTGGGCGGGGCGCAGCGCGCTGATTGGGCGACTTGCGGAGGCGGGACCGGGATTGGACCCGGGCGGCTGCCGTCTGCGTGGCGGAAACGCGGGAGGGGCGCTCTCACGCGCGGGCCGGCGGGGAGGCCGCGGGCCGGTGTGGTGAAAGCCGGGCTTGTCTCGGGAGGCCGATCGCCCCCTCTGCTGGGGACGCTTTCTTCAGCGAGGAGTGGGTGTGAGCTGAGCCTTTCTGGGACCCCGGTGTTTGGGGGAGGGGCGGGGATCGAGGAGAGTACCCCACAGGTCCACACAAAGGGGAGGCAGTAAGAATTTAAGCCTGTCTCACCCTAAAGGAGCCTGGTTAGACCTGGGTAGGTGGGTGGGAGGAGAGTAGGGCCCGAGTCAGGTGGCGGGGGTGGTCGCTGGGAGAAGGGGTTGGAAATAAAAAGCGAGGCTGAAAGTTGGTCCTGGGGCGGAGTCTCAGGACTGGGGCACGTGATGGGAGCTTTGGCGTTAAGTGTCGGTGCTTGAGTTTGAGGCTTCCAAGTTGGGCGAGGTGGGACACGCAGAAGTGGCAGCTCAGGCTTAGCCCCCCTGAGATGCGACTCAAGGATTGTTTAATTATCTTCAACCAGCCCGCTTCCCCTTCTCTCAAGGGGTCTAGAGTGTTCTCTGAAGTTTTTGGAAGGAAAAAAGGACCAAGATTCTTCTGACAGTTTAGCCCCAGGAGACATTTAGTGAACTGAAGGCTCAGTACTCCCACCCTAAGTGGGAGGAAACGAAGTCCGGTGTTTGCCCTCCCCACCTGCTACCATGAGATTAAATGAGAACGTTTTGCTGCTGGGAAAGAAGGTGGTGCTGGTACCCTACACCTCAGAGCACGTGCCTAGGTAAGGGTCCACCTAACCGTGGGGTGCAAGCCAGCTCTCCAAGGTGCAGCGAGTTGGGTGAGCCTTCCTTAGCCCCAATCTCAGAGGCCATTTCCTCTAAGAAGGAGAAACATCGTTTGGAGAAGTAAAGACGGAAAAAAGTGGACACTGACTCTGAGGACCAGTTCCTTCCAAGTCACTGATGCCCCTGCATTTCCCTTTCATCCTCCTAGCTTCCTTTTTTGGACTTCCAGCAAGGAATTATTTAAAGAGAATGTGTGTAAGAAAAAAAGAAACTGCTCAGTTGTAAATTAGTGACGTTCTTCTGGTGTCTGTGAATATGCTCAGTTCTTGAAGACTTCATGTTAGCTTGTCATAAAACTGAGCTGATGGGTTGTTCTGATGTCTCCTGTTTCAAGAGGCCAGAACGGAGTCTCAGGGTCAGACTCTTGTGGGGGACAATTGGCGATCGGCAGATGTCTGGTAGACTGGGATGGGGGTCATGAAGGGGTGTATTCTCTACTTGCAGTTTTTCTTTTTGGGGGGTTCCTGTGCTTGGCCATGGTGGAGATCTGTGCAGCCTTCCTTACTGAGGTCAGCCTGCCATATACTTCCATTTAGGAATTTGAGGAATGTTTGAATTCAGACTGCTCCCCCGCACTGACTCCTGAGACCGGATGGATGGGAAGCTGGACAGACAGAACTGATCCTCCCCCTGCTGTTCTCTTGTAGGACAAGCCTACTCTGGGTTTTGTGCTGGTGACCCTCTGCCTTAGGAGTTACTATAAACCCTTTCCTTGGGTCTTTTATGAGCCCTGTGTTAGCCTTGCGGGGTTCTCCTTTCCACCATCTATTTCTTCATCTCATAAAATGTTCAGACCTGTGCTTCTGAATCAGTCCTGCATGCCAAAGGCCATCCCCCTGTCCCTGCAGATACCACGAGTGGATGAAATCAGAGGAGCTGCAGCGTTTGACAGCCTCCGAGCCCCTGACCCTGGAGCAAGAGTATTCGATGCAGCGGAGCTGGCGGGACGATGCAGACAGTGAGAAGCGGAAGCCCTGGGCTGGCTCCAGAGGCAGAGTCTTCTGGTTCCCTCCCTTTCTCATTCCCAGCTGTAGCCCTTCTGGGGCCACAGAAACTTTGTGAAAAGCCCTTCATGGAAAATCTGGGAAGTGCCTGAAACCGTCATACTCTTTCTGGCCGCTGAAGCCGGTCCCTGTGACGGACTCTTCTGTTTTCCCCACTCACTGGATCAGGCCTGGGAGAGAAAGTAAAGCATTTGCGGCTCTGGCTGTAAATTGAGGCCCTGCCCCTCACACCTCTTGCCCAAACCCAGTTGTGGTTTTTGCTTTCTGAGAATACAGCTGCTGTTCAGGGGAGACCATGTTTTCCTGCGTGAGGCAAATTTAGGACTTCGTAATCAGCTAAAGGGAGCTCTGGGCCCATTTTTCTCCAGGCGGACAGAGGCGATGTTCTGCAGCTCCCTGCTTTGGGTGGGAAGACTGACATTACTTCCCTCCTTTGAGGAGTGGGGGTGCTAACTCTGTCGCCTCCCTCCTCAGAGTGCACGTTCATTGTGCTGGATGCAGAGAAGTGGCGGGCCCGGCCAGGCACCACTGAAGAGAGCTGCATGGCGGGCGATGTAAACCTCTTCCTCACCGATTCAGAGGACCCCTCCTTGGGGGAGATCGAGGTCATGATTGCAGGTTTGTTCCACCTGGCCCTGCCTTCCCTCCCTTCTGGCCCTTGATCTGCTGAACTTTGAGCCAGCTGGGGCTTCATGGGGTCCTCCACTCAATGGAAGGTTCCACATTGGTGAGCCTGCCATTGCCACCTGGCACTCCATTAGCCTGGTGGCTCACCCGTGGAGGTTTACTTCCCATGTTATACTCAGATGTGAATTTAACCTTTGGTTTTGGGGTCTTCAAACTTCATGGTGCTCCATCCCTGCTGGGGATGTGTGGAGCTGGGCACTGAGGACCCTCCCACAAGAAATGACCTCATTTGGAGCATCTTCCCATGCTGTGGGAGGAGCCCCGCTACTGTGTCCTCCGTGGTCCACAGACTTCCCCCAAAACTGTCCTCCTGAGGCAGCACCCTGAGGTTAAGGGGTCAGCTTTGGGGTCTCAAAGCTGTGAGCCCTTGTGCAAGTCATTTTAATTTCTGTGTCTGTTGCCCTATCTGCACAGTGGTAATAATAGTACTGACTGTGTAGGACTCTGAGGGATGAAATGGGGTTTTAGCTGTCCAGGACCTGCAGCGGAGCCTGGCACACAGCATCAGTGACCATCATTGTTTTCTTAGAGCCCAGCTGCAGGGGCAAAGGCTTTGGCACCGAGGCTGTTCTTATGATGATGTCTTATGGTAAGGAAGTCTGAGCAGACGAGGGGAGAAGCAACCAGGCCCGGGTGAGGGTGAGGGCACATGAGGGCATGTTGGGAGTGGGCCTTCTTCAGGCCTGAGGGTGGGGGAGCAGGAGACAGGTGCCTCCAATGCAAACTGGGACAGGAAGAGCAGGGGTGTATGTGTGGGAGGGGAGGGGGGCTTCATCCTGTGACCTGTCCCTCTCTTTTGCTCTCTGGGAGGAGTGACCAAGCTAGGTCTGACCAAGTTTGAGGCTAAAATTGGGCAAGGAAATGAACCAAGTATCCGGATGTTCCGGAAGCTTCACTTTGAGCAGGTAAGGATGTCACTGGTGGGGGCGCGAGGCCAGGGTCTGGGCAGTGGGGCCAGCGGTGCTGGAGCTCGTGACTAACTTAGCTGGCTCTGCCCTTTCTGGCTCACATAGGTGGCTGTGAGTAGCGTGTTCCAAGAGGTGACGCTCAGACTGACAGTGACCGAGCATGAGCGGCAGTGGCTTCTGGAGCAGACCAGCCACGTGGAGGAGAAGCGCTATCGAGATGGGTTGTTGGAGTCCTGTTGACAGCTGGCCCTGTGGGCAGCCGCCCTGTGTGAATGGGGGTGGTGGGACCACGCAGTCCAGAAGAGCAGAGCCCTGAATCAGTTGGGGGCCTTTGGGGCAGAGTGCTCCTGACTCCACTCCAGCCTGGGGGCCTCTTTTGGGGCCCTTCAAATTCTGGGCCGGACTTGCCTTGGCCTCCTTCAGGCTGGCGGTGAGTGTGGATGAGCAGCTCCAGGGCAGGCCAGCAGAAGCCTGGAGTGGACTTTCAGACCTGGAGTGGACAGCACGAATCCACAGGAGGCAGGGTGGAGGTGGGAACAGAGGTGAATGGGGGCCTGGTGAGGGCCTGGAGGGGCCGCCCTTGCCTGGAGTAAAGTGTCCTGCTCAGCACTTTCCCCTGCTTTCTCCTTGGGCCTCTGTGGTGAGTCACCAGAAGGCCCAGCCTGCAGCATCTAGTCCAGCGTGGTGCGATCAGGACAGGAGGAGTTAGTCTGCTTCTGTTCTGCAGAAGTTTGGAAATGAATGATCTAGGCCCTGAACGACAGGAGGGTTGGAAAGTGAGCTAGTGTCCTCTGTCCTTGCTCCTTCTCTTTGGACCCAGGAGTGAGTTTTGGATACAGCTCCTCGTGGCTGAATCACCCCTCTGTTGGTGAAGCCTGGAGCCTCTGCTCATTTGCAAGGGCTGCAGGAGGAAGCAGAAGCCGCTCCGCAGTACCTTCCTGAAGGTGCTTATGATCTCTTACTCTCTGCCCCTCACTTCTCTGCCCTGGGGAGTGGCTGTGCCTGACAAAGCCACAAGGGGGCGCCAGGGGCACAGGTTCGGGATGGCCAGGCTGCCTGGTGCTTTGAAAGGCAGAGCTGGGCCAAATCTTCCCCGCTTAGAGTGAGGGGGGACGCCCCTGGATTCCTAACCCTCCAGTCATGATCTGCGGTGGCGATCAAGGCCAGACAGGTTTCAAAACAGTCACGGAAGAGACCCTGGAGGGCAGCTAGGGTATGTCCGAGCACTTGATGTCAGAGCCAGAACCACTGCTGAGGCCCTCAGTTCCCAGTCCTCTATCCTGGGGAATTCCACCACTGCCTCGCAGGTAAAGAAAACTACAATCTGCCTGCTTTTGGAAACTTTTTGTACTGTGTCCGGCCCTTCAGTGATAGGGAGAGGGTGGGAGTTCTGGCCTCCTGCTTAGTCAGAGGCCCCCAGGGCTTCCCTACTCCACAGGTGAGGTAGGGAGGGGTCTCTGCCCTGTGGTGCAGTCTTCAGGCCTTGCTTACCGAAGTGGCCTCCCTCAGGGGCCAAAGGGGAGAGGCCAGGTGGAGAGGGGGCGGGCCAGCCCCCAGGCCATCGGTGCTGTGAAAGGGTTTTCAATGGCGTCTCTTAACACTGGTGGGAATCTAGGCCCTAACTGGAGGCCAAGATGTCCAGATAGCGACCCATTCTTCGCTCTCTGGGTCCTCTCTTTGACTGCCTCCTTCAGCAGCAACTTCCCTTTCTTCTCTCCAAGCACCTACCCAGACAGAGCCTCTTAGCCTGGCAGCCTCAGCCCTTGCGGGCCACTTTGGCAGATTTCCGGGATGTGGCCTCAGGTGCCACAGGTACAAGAGACCTGGATCTTTTTGAAGAGGAGCAGGGCATTTTGCCCTTGGAAAGTCCCTTCCACCCCACCTGACACAGAGCATGTCCTGGGCCTCCGTGGGCTGGGTTTGTTTTCCCCTAGCCCTGCGCAGCTGCCCTCCAATCCTGTCCACGGCCAGATAAGATAGAAAATCTGGTGCTAGCTCAGGCCTCTCCAGGGGATCCTGCACCCACTGGCTGCCAGTCAAAGCTCAAAGCCAAGTCTTTGTATTCCAAATGCAGCTCCTTTTGGGATTCACAATTTCAGCGCTCTTGAATTAGAACTGCATAAAGCCTTCTAGCTATGTCGATCTTACCTCCCACATCCTACCTCTGGGACAGCCCCTGTAGACACTTGGGAGCTGGGCAGGTTCCCCTCCCACAGGACTTGGGCAAAGCTCAGGCAGCTCCAGGTGCCCAGGGCCCTCTGATGTACAGCTGTCCACATTCTGTCGCCAGGCCTGGAGTCAGAAAGCCCTGGCCTGTCTTCCCCTCCAGCTGTACCCCCACCCTGTCAGCCAGAGGCTACCCAGGGCTCTAAAGGAAGACACAGAGACTGAGGCGGTTTGGATGCCAGTTGAATTTCTGATGGAAGTTTCTTTACAATGGGGTGGCTGGGCAGGAGGTGGGCAGACCCTGCGCACCTTGCCCAGGGCTCCTGGGGGAGGTAGGAGCAGAAACAAAGTTTAAGGCTAAGGCTGCCGCTGTGTCCTGGATGCAGCAACCTTGAAAATCATGTTAATCAAGGAAACAAAAATCCCTCTAAACTCTGTGGTACTGCATTAAAAAAAGAAGAAAAGCCACAGCTCTGAGAACGACGGGCCCCTGCCTGTTCCGCAGTGTTGCTGTACTCAGCAGTCCTTGATCAACCTTGGAATCATCACTTGGGGTCATGAAAGAACAGGACCCCTTGCCTGTTCCCCGATCCTTGCTTGGTGTGGGTACCAGTGAGGTCCCAGGGGTGTGGCAAGGGCACCCGAAGCGCTCAGGAGAAGCAGGACAGAGTCCACTTGCTGACTGGGACAGGATGGAAACAGTCACCTTCCCTGAGGTAAGGGAAGAGCACCGTTCTCTAGAAAAATTAGAAAAATCAGATTCACCGATAGAGGAGGGATGCAGGTACTGATTTGTGTGTCGATTAGGGAGGGCAGTGAGTGGGGGGGGAGGGGCGGGGGCGGAGCGAGGGGGCTGGCCCAGTCCCGCCAGCTTTTCTGGGCGCCCACAGGACACTCAGAAGTTGCTGAAGAGTTCATTTTTCTTGCTCCAGTCCATCTGTGGAGCCCGCCTGTTGCCGCGTTTCTGGTGAGCCCGCTCTTTGGCCACGGCCAGGGAGATGTTGAAGTCCAGGATGGGGTCGGAGGAGGAAGAGGTAGATGAGGGTGCCGTGGAGTCCTGTTTCCTGGGGCTGTCTTGGGAATTCAGCTGCAAAGAGGAGGCAGTGGCAGAGAGCCGGGAGTCAGTGCCTGGCGGGGCGTCCTGGTCCTCAGCCTCCGCAAGGTGGCTGGCTCCCTTGGGGCAGTGCCCAGGGAAGCCAGGTCACAAGAACAGAACGTGGCATAGCATGTGACCTCCAAGGCAGGCTAGCGTGCCAGGAACGAGTGTGGCCTGGGAATGGGTTTCCCGTAACTCAGTGCCACCCTCTGCCCGCCCGGCCAGCCAGCCTACCTCCTCACTGGTATCACTGGAGGTGGATCTTGCCAGGGCTGATCTGGGGCTCTCAGAGGCGACCTCAGGCAGCGCTTCCTGGCTGTTCTCCTGAAACGGAAGAGGGGTGGGGGTTAGCAAGGGATGGGGTGGGGGAGTCCTGAATAAGAAAGGAGCCCCCAGGGGAGAAGCTCCACTTAAGCCTTTAACATCCACCCGGAAGCCCCAGTGCCTGAGTCTGAGCCTGGCGGGTTCCCTTGGGGACTGACAGTTTTACATTCCTCTAAGGATCAGAGGGCAGCCTGGTTCCACCACCCAGGTGGGAGGGACCATCGTGGGATTAGCTGAACTGCTCACACAGAACCCCCTCCCCAGCCCTCCCAAAGTAGCCTTCAGGGTTGACTAGCCTTTGAGGCCAGTGACCATGGAGGGGCTTCGTGGAGTGTGGGGATATAGAGAGCCTCTGCTTGGCACAGGGAACCCATGTGATACTCCCTGAATTCCTGCAGCCTACCTGTTTACTTGGACTCGACCCTAGGAATCTTGAAACTTTCCCCCAAAGCAACCAAGAAGGGCTTTGAAGGAATAAGGCAAATGAGAGAGTTCTAGGTCCACAGATGGGGTGACAGAAAGTTCAGGTGGCCTCTGGGAGGAGCCCTTGGGGAGGGGAGACCTCCTTAGTAGACCCCGCAGAGAGCTCGAGCTCCGTGGTCTGACTCTGAGTCAGCTGTCTCAGAGTGAAGGTCTTGGCCAAGGCTTCGACTTGGTGCTCAGCCTCTGCCTGGGTCCCTCTGTGGCCTCAGCTGGCACCAGGCCCCACCATCTCTTCCCCAGCCTCCACTGCCTTCTCTTCCTCTTCTGCCCAGGGAGGAGGGGTGGAGGGGCTTTGTTCTTCCAACCCAGACTGGAAGCAGCAGGGCCCAGGCAGCGTGCGTCCAGACACTGAAGCTCTGTTCTTGGGGGGAAGAATGGCCTCTTCTGTACGGTGGGGAGTTGGAGGCGGGGTTTGTCACCAGGATGGCGGGCTGCAGAGGGGCCCGGCCAGGCCAATCTCTCCCAACTGCCTTGGCGCGAGGCAGGGGTTTGAGGGGTGCACTGGCAGTTCTAGAGCTTGGAGCTCAGAGGGGAGCAGCTTGGAAACGGGGGTTTCAGCCTGAGCCAGATAGCTGTCCCTATCCCAACCATGCCACCTTCCACCCTTCTGCAGCCCCACTTGAGAGCCAGAGAAGCGTTAGAGGGCCTGCCTTTACCTTCCGGATCTCCCCATTGGTAAAGGGCTCGGGCAAGGGACCTACGGGAAGGAAAAAACAGCAGAGGTGAGTCCAGAAGCTCTGGGGAATGCGGACGGAGTGGTGCCCGGAGAGGAGGGAGAGCTTCGGGGTTTAGGCCATAATTAGACCTTGTTCTCTATGTCAGTGTTTAAGTATCTTGACTGCAACCCTGTAAAATTGTGGGTCTGACTTTCTGGTGACCCAGCATACACACGTGTGTAACCAAAGTTTCATGAAGCAATGTTTCCCCTTAATACCTCGTCAATGCTCTCCCATGTTTTCGAGTCAAAGAAGAACACTAGTCTCTGCTAAGTTGATCTTATGAACCACTGATGGGTAATGAGCTGTTTGGAAAAACCACTGTCTTCGATGGGGATGAAATTCCAGGCTGGCTGCCTAAGACCTGGGAATCTTGTTAGAAATGCAGATTCCCAGGCCTTGGCACCAGGGCCTGATTCAGTGGGTCTGGAGTGGGCCTAGGAATCACAGTTTTTCAGATGGCTCCTAGGTGGTGATGCTGTCACCAGAATTGGAACCCCACCCCAGATTATGGTTAGTACCTGCCCTGGCTGAAAGAGAAAATAATCCCAACTGGTGCCTGCCACCGTGAGGGTGAGGGGATGAGGGGGGCTCAGGGCAGTGTCCTGAGTGGGCCCCCGCCCCGCCATGGGAAAACTGGTGGTGGCAGGGGGGGGTCAGGAGACACTGTCCTGGGGTCCCGGTTCCACTTATGGGGACTGGTCAGCCTGAATGGGTTTCTTCTGAACTCTTTAACATCAATGTGTATCTGTTCTTGCCGGGCTGGACGGCAGGCACGCCTGACTCTCACCATTTCCTCCCTGTTGCTACCCAGCCTTCCC